CAAGCTGGAATCAAGAGTGCTAGGAGAAATATCAATAACCTCAGATATGCAGATGACACCACCCTTATGGCAGAAAGTGAAGAACTAAAGAGCCTCTTGATGAAAGTGAAAGAGGAGAGTGAAAAAGTTGGCTTATAGTTCAACATTCAGAAAACTAAGATTATGGTATCTGGTCCCATCACTTCATGGCAAATCAATGGGGAAACAGTGGAAATGGTGACAGACTTTATTTTTGAGGGCTCCAAAATCAGTGCAGATGGTGACCCCAGTCATGAAGTTAAAAGCTGCTTGCTCCTTGGAAGAAAAGCTATGACCAACCCAGACAGCATATTAAAAAGCAGAGACATTACTTTACCAACAAAGGTCTGTCTAGTCAAAGCTATGGTTTTTCCAGTAGTCATGTATGGATGTGAGAGTTGGACTAAAATGAAAGCTGAGTGCCAAAGAATTGATGTTTTTGAACTGTCATGTTGGAGAAGACTCTTGAGAGTCCCTTGGACAGCAAGAAGATCCCACCAGTCCATCCTAAAGGAAATCAGTCATGAGTATTCATTAGAAGGACTGATGCTGAAGCTGAAACTCCAGTTCTTTGGCCACCTGATGTGAGGAACTGACTCATTTGAAAAGACCCTGATTCTGGGAAAGATTGAAGGCAGGAGAAGGGGATGACAGAGGATGAGATGGTTGGATAGCATCACCAACTCAATGGACATGAGTCTGAGCAAACTCCGGGAGTTGGTGATGGGCAGGGAGTCCTGGCGTGCTGCAGTCCATGGAGCCTCAAATAGTTGTACCTACTGAGTGACTGAACTGGACTGAATCTTTCAATTTGTCCCCCCCACCCCCCACGCCATGTCTGCATATCTATTCCCTACATCTGCATCTCTATTCCTGCCCTGCAAATAGATTCATCTGTACCATCTTTCTGTATTCCACATATGTGTTCTTGAAGAGCCACTCATTCATAATCACAGCAGGACACTGTTTACTTTCTTCACTGCATGGATGTGTTACTGATTTTTCAAAAGCAATGGTAGTAAAATTCTATGATGCCTTAGCACATTAGTCAAGGCAATGGCTTCAAACCATCCTATAAGTCTTTGTATTCCTCACTCATGCACACTTGCAATGTATTTTCTTTAACATGTCAGTTTCACTTAGAGATGCCTTTCATAAAGCAGTAAAAATTATTAGTATTATTAAATCTAGATCTTTGAGTACACATCTTTTTAATATTCTATGTGATGGAATGGCAAGTATATGTAAAACACTGTGATGGTTGATGAGAGAAAAGTAACTCATATTGCTGTTTGAACTACAAGCCAGACTAGCAAGTTTTTCATGGAACTCCATTTAAGTTTAAAATGAATGAAGCTATAGTCATGCAAGCTTTGGTTTTTGATGGAAATTTTCTCCAAAGTGATCAAAGTGAGCTTGTCACTTCAAAGAAAACAACTCAATAGTATTTGTTGCCAGTAATAGAAATTTTTGAAGCAAAATTTAGAATTTGAGGAAACTTCTGTTTAACTCTACACTGAGCCTAACAGTTTCTTTTAATTCAGATTGTTCTGAGATTGATGGTGATATAAACAAAGGTATTCTTTTGATATTTTATAATCGAGTGTGTCAACATTGAGAAGATTTGCATTAGTTAGATAAATAATAATTTCTGGATATATGATGTTACAAAATCATGAGTGGGTAAAAGGTCCATTCAAAACACAAGATGACTGGTAGATTTTAATGTAATAAAGTATCAAATTTCATTAATATGATTTAATATTTTACATTGTAATAAGCCTTAAAATATACCACTTATTAGGTTTTAGTATAATACCAAAGAATAACCATAATTACCTTGAAAAGTCTACTATTCTTCCTTTTTACAACTGCATATACTATATGTGAGATGAGATTTTATTCATGTATTTCAAAATAGCATATCAAAACAAATATAAGAATGCAGGTATTTTTATTACACCAACTATTAAAGAGATTTGCAAAATAAATGTAAAACAGTGCCAGGGTCAGTCACTTGTTACTTATTTTGAAAATAATTTCTATATTAGTATATAATAGATTGAGAATAATTTTAAATAAATGCATAAATTTTTATCTTTATCTGTTTTAATTCCTTCTTGTTGTTCAGTCACTAAGTCATGTCTGACTCTTTGAGTCCCCATGAGCTTCAGCATGCCAGGCTTCCCTGCCTTTCACTATCTCCTAGAATTTACTCAAACTCATGTCCATCACATTAGTGATGCCATCCAGCCATCTCATCCTCTCTTATCCCCTTCTCCTCCTGCCTTCAATCTTTCCCAGCATCAGGGTCTTTTCCAGTGAGTTGGCTCTTTGCATCAGGTGGCCCAAGTACTGGAGCTTCAGCATCAGTCCTTCCAATGAACATTCAGGGTTCATTTCCTTTAGAATTGACTGGTTTTAATCCCTAATGTGGACATATTGGTAGATAACAACCCATATATACAAAAACTATTTGGAGTCCACAGTAATTTTTTAAGAGGATAAAATGATTCTAAAAGTTTAAAAAAGTTTAAAAATTACTGGTGTAATCAAAGACACATGCCTAATTAAGAAAATTCATAAGAGGAGTTATTTTTCTTAAATGCATACCAGGAAGAAAAACAAAGAACAGAGAAGGAAGGAGAGGGGTGGGAGAGAGAAAGAGAATTCAAATTTGTAGTCTTTTTGTTTGTTTGCTGTATCTTATTCCAAATATGTTATTCTAGAATTCTCAGGAATGTCTCATTTTTATGCATTTTGCTATGAGAAAAAGAGACAGACTTCAGAGTAGGAAAGAGGATTTGTATGTGTTTGGAGGGGAGGGGTGTAGATTGGATGATTATGGGGAAAATCACATCATTTTCTCCATCATAAATTTTCATTTTTTAAAGAGGTTTAGTGTGAACTGTTTATAATTGTCCTCCACAGCTTCAGAAAATTCCTTAGACCAATGAGACTGTTAATCTAAGAAGAAAGCCCCCAAAGCAAGATGATCCTCTAAATACCTTTGGGCACTTTGGAAAAGAAAAGTTGAACATCTGTACTGAAGCTTAAGACAGTCTTGTAAATGTTTATAAGCTTGGACTTAATGAAGCTCTTAGTTCACCAAATAACTTAACAACTTGCTGAGTTTTCCCCTGGAGAAAGATTCTCCAGAATATAACCCTTTCTGTTTTAAAAAACAAAACAAAACTTTATTCTATACAAGAGTTTAGCCAATTAACAATGTTCTGATAGTTTTAGGTGGATACATATGCGTGTATCCATACTCCTCCAAATTCCCCTCCCATCCAGGCTGCCAGATAACATTGAGCAGAATTCCCTGTGCTGTGCAGTAGGTCTGTGTTGGTTATCTATTTTAAATACAGCAGTGTGTATATTTGTCAGTCTCAAACTCCATTAACTGTCCCTTCCTCTGGTAACCATAAGTTCCTTCTATAAGTCTGTTGTCTGTTACTCTTTTGTGAATAAGTTCGTTTGTGCCATTTCTTTTTAGATAAATATAATTCTTTCTGGTTGAATTGGTTGGTACCATATAAAAGGACCCCAAACTGGAATGATAACTTTCTGTGTACCATTTTTCATGTTTTGTATTCTGAGCACATTTTTGCACTCAACATCATTTTTTTAATTGAATATAGTTGATTTACATTATTGTGTTAGTTTTAGATATACACAGCAAGGCAATTCGGTTACACATATGAAAGTGAAAGTGTTAGTCACTCAGTTGTGTCCAACTTCTGTGACCCCATGGACTGTAGCTGCCAGGCTCCTCTGTCCATGGAATTAATTCTCCAGGCAAGAATACTGGAGTGGGTTACCATTTCCTTCTCTAGGGGATCTTCCCAAAACCCAGGGATCAAACCCAGGTCTCCTGCATTGCAGGCAAATTCTTTACCATCTGAGCCACAGGGAAGCCTTAGTAAATATCTATATTATTATTATTTTTTCAATTCTTTTCCATTACAAGTCACTGCAAGACATTTCACTTTCACATTTGTAAAACAAGTCAAGAAATATGCCTCACATACTGTTTTCTAGGGAGGTCAGAGGGAGCTGAAGGGGAGGATGTGGGGGAGAAGTCTGTCTGGGGAAGGCCTCATAGGGAACTACTTTGTTACATATCTACTTCCCCTTGTGCGATCCAGGAGGATAGGATCTCTGTGTATAAATGGCAAAATGTGGATACTAGCACTCTTGCTTGGGAAACTCCTTCTGTACTTTTCTTATTTATTCTGTGTGTGTGTTTAAAGGAACTTTGATTCACTCGTCTGCCCTTCCAAAGAAGTAATATTTTAAATCCTTACTATCCAGTGGTTCCTTTACATGTGTTCCCTCGCTGAATCCCCGCAGTCACCCTGGGACCTGGGTTCTATGACTCTCCTCATTTTCCATTGTATTCAAAGCCACACAGCTAATTGAGTCATAGAATTAGGATCCAAACCTACATCTTTCTTACTCTAGAGCCTATTTTATTTTCAGATTTATTATACTTATGGAGCAAAATAATTCTACAATCAGCCCCCAGATTTATTACCTATTTTAATGAATGTCTCTGTCTATACCACCTAAATAAATAATCATACTAGAAAATGCAGGACAAAAGATGCAGCTTTCTTAGGGAGGGGGAAAGGACCAGTCTCTTGCACAGGCTCCTATTTTTTTTTTTTTCTCCTTGGGCTGCCTGGTGGTAAATGGTTTTTAAATAGCAATTGAACCACCCACAAAGAGACCTTGATTTACTAATTTTTTTTCTGTACATCAGTGCTGTTACTCTTTGCCTGGTTTTGGAGGTTCAGTTGAGTTTGTGCTTAAAATAATGGATGGATACAACTTGTAAGCAGAGCGCAAGTGACTAAATTTGAAAAAGAAAAATGTGTTTATATACATATTTTCCTTTCAGTCTGTTTCTGTGAAGATTAAAAAATATCTGGCACCTGAAGCTGCAGTTGTAGCAGAGAGAAATATTTTAAAATACTTAGAATCACAGAATGTTATAGCTGGAAGGGATCATGTCTGGGAACTGGTGACAGAGAACACAGAGCCCATTCTATCTAAGATCACGTGTCAAGGGAGTGGTTGTGGTGTGGGTTGTGAATCCTAGTTTATTCATCAAGGGGAGAGGGGTGGCTTACTTTCTAAGCCTAATTTTCCTTCATTTGTAAAAGGTAGGCAGTAAGAGTGCTTACCCCAGAGGGTGGTTGTTACATGCCTCATGCACAGATTGCTTATCAGTAGGCCTGACCTACATGGGCTCAAGAAATGCCAGCTGTCCTCCTTTTTCTGCTTCTTTCATTCTTCTATATTATCATTAAAACTTTAGTGACTTTTTTTTTAAAGACTTCTCTGTTTCGCATACTCTTTCCTTTGATGTTAGAGATTTGTCATTTTTATATGGAAAGTAAATAGTCATTGTTCTTTCTTTGTAGGTTTCAATAGATGTCATTGCCCTCTTCATTTTCAAACAAAACCTAGTTCTGATATCTTCGCAATTTAGACCATTCTTCACTCCTGTCATTCCCATAAAAATTCTGGAGTGTTTCCTAGAGGTCATTCACTGAACCTGATGTTTACATGCACATAATTATTTCATTCACCTCATGCAAAACAGATAAAGTCAACATTATCTTCACTTTTTGGTTGAATAAGTTAACCGAGAGAGGTTATGCAACTTATCCCAAGTTATGGCTTGTAAGAGGCAGAGCCAAGATTTGAAACCTGGGCTGTTTCAAGTCCAAGCACAGTATCTTACCTACTGTACCATAAAGCCAAGAATACTTAACCTTCTGTCTCACAAAACAGTCATGGAACTAGTTACTTGATTACAACATTGTTTTCAACCCTTCCATGATTCGAGGTTAAGCTTCAGAGCCAGTGGAGAAGACCAAAACCACCATGGCTACTGTCTATCACTTTCACCTGAATGTGTCTATTGGAACTCTAGAAAAACCTGTATTCATGTGAGTTTTAATTCCAAAACAAAACCATGGATCATTTCTTCCTACATTCTGCCTCTTGTATGGAGATGTCTCTGGACAGCAGCTGCCCCCTTGATGGCAATGTCGAATGTGAGATCCATCTTCTGAATTGTGTACATCTCAAGTTCTCATATTTCCAACAAACAGGGGTTCTCTTATCTATGGGGGGGGGTCATTTTTTTCTGTGTGAATATATTAAGTACTCCTATTCCATGAGATAGTTCTAATTACTACCTCATAGAATTTGGACAGTTATAATTACTGTTCATTTTTACCAGAACACTATTTTATTTCTTAGTAATTCATTACATTTATACCAATGATGAATTTCTTCCATAAGACTGAACATTTTTTTTTTAACATCTTCCTTCTGAAGTATTATCTACCTACAAGGGCATCATCTTTGCCTCTTCAAATTTTACCCATCATTTGGATTTCATTTCAGAAGTTATCTCAAGCACAAAATCTTCCGAATCTTTTTATCTGACTCAATCCTTCAAACCCTACCCCACCAGAGACAGACAAAAAATCTAGACAAGACTATACCTGAACTTCCACAGAGTTTTAGGTTTTCCTCTCCTGTGACATTGAACACTGTATACCTGTTTCTCTGTACTTGTTCCATGCTCTAGTCTGGGCTTTAGCCCTGTAGAGATTATTGTATCATTAGGATGCTTTGAATCTTTAAGAAACAGAATACCCAATTAAAATTGACTTACATAGTGACATATTTGTTATCTCATATAACGGAAGTTCTAAATTAACAGAGTTCTAGAATTTCTTAATTCAACCTCTCCACAGTTCTGGGCCTGCAGATTCTGTTCTGTGAATCTCTTCATTTGCCCCTCATGGACTCAAGGTGGCTGCCACAGCATCAAACAACACCTCCCTAGGGGTGAAGGGAGAAAAAGAGGAAGGAAGCAGGTCCATTGCCTGCCTCCATAAACCTGGGAAACATTATTCCCAGTCATTCATCTGGGAAGAAGAGATTTCCCAAAAGTTCTCCATTGGAATTTCTCTATGTCTCATTAGCCAGAACTGCTTCACAAGCCTGCCCTCAAACCGATGACCAGCAAAAGGGAATGAATGGATTATCACTATTGGCTAAGATCAGTCAAAGTTTAGATCAGTCAAAATCTATCCCCTGGCGCTGAGGGAGGGGCCTGTCTTTGATAAGCCCATTGCTGTCTGTCTGCTGAATAAAATTGAAGTTCTATTGGCAATCACAGAGGAAATAGCTCTATTAAATAGGATCAAGAGTATTTAAATACACTGAATCGGTGTTCTACAGATGAAATATTTGCCACAGCTTTGACTTAGCTATCTCTGCATTTCTCAAAATTGCTGCTCAGATCTCAATGAATGCTATTCTATATAATTGTTTCATTAATTTATTTTATTCCACAAATATTCATTTAAAAATATACTATATATTGAGACTGTCCTAGGGATTATATATATAATGGTATATAAAATCTGATGGGATCCTGCCATTAGTATCAAAATTAAAGCTATACTTACAATGTATCATGGAGAAGGCAATGGCACCCCATTCCAGTACTCTTGCCTGGAAAATCCCATGGATGGAGGAGCCTGGTAGACTGCAGTCCATGGGATCTCGAAGAGTCAGACATGACTGAGCGACTTCACTTTCACTTTTATGCATTGGAGAAGGAAATGGCAACCCACTCCAGTGCTCTTGCCTGGAGAATCCCAGGGACGGGGTCGCACAGAGTCGGACATGACTGAAGTGACTTAGCAGTAGTAGTACAATGTACCAGGAACTTCCCAGGTGGCACTAGTGGTAAAGGACCCACCAACCAATGCAGGAGATTTAAGAGATGTGGGTTCAGTCCCTGGGTTGGGAAGATCCCCTGGAGGAGGGCATGGCAACCCACTCCAGTTTCTTGCCTGGAGAATCCCATGGACAGGGGAACCTGCCTGGCTACAGTCCATGGGGTCACAAAGAGTTGAACACAACTGAAATGATTTAGCACACATGGTGCTAAAACTTTATGCATTATTTTAATGAATCCTCAAACAACTCTACAAGATAAATTCTATTAAAAATCACCATGTTTTTCTGACGAGAACACTGTGACCCAATGCAGTTAAGAATCTTGACAAAGGTGACAAAGATAAGAGTCAAGCCAAGTTTTGCATAAATTCTTTTTACATGTGTGTGCACATGTATGTCATAGATAGACCTTTCTTGCTTGTTGGAGTCGTGAGCTCTTGGATTTTATTTTGATTTACAGGATATCTTTTTATGTTCTCAAAAAGTCTGTAAGAGCCCCTTGTATCTTACAGGGGTTTGGAGGAAGAACCTACTAAGTGTTTTTGATGATGATCCTCACCTTATTTTGTGACTTTACTTTCCTGAAGAGAAAGCTCTGGCTTTTGAGGAATCCACTTGTAGACTGTGAAAGTAATCTCAGTCATCATTTTACCTCTTAGTTTGAACTACCTTCTATTTTCATCAGTACCACGAAATAAACATCATGGCTTAGTGCTAATTAAACACAATATAGACAAAAGGCCTATTTTATTCTCCCTGTATAATATCTTAGAAGTTAAGCCACCCATGCTAAAAAGTGGAATTATTTCATGTAGAACGGTGATTTCCACCCAGTAATGAGAAACAAACTGTTAGCGCTGGGTGTGCATGTTGGCAAGGGTACATGACAGGGCAACTGTTGGCAGGAAGCGAGGAGCTGCTGCCTGTTTTGGATGCGGCCAAGACACCAGCGTGCCACCACCACAAACATTATACAGCCCATCGCTTTACTCATTTTAGGTGTCTGCTATATCAGTCAGCATCTGCTATAGACTGCAGCTCCAAAACTTTGGTAACAACATCAAAAATTGAGTGCAACAGCAAGCATTGCTTGCCCAGGCTGTGTGAGACCTGGGGCTCAGCCGGAGCTCTGGCAGGCAGGGGTGGATCTGGATGTGCCGCCTACAGGTAGGATCACAAAGGGTCTCATGCTCAGAGGGGTCCCGCATTTGATCTAAGCTTCTGTTGTCATGCTCTTTCCATTCACAGGGGGCCCTAGATGGTCATTTTTCACCAGGTCCTGAAAACCATGTAGCTGGTTCTGGCGTCACGCACACCATGTTGTCTCATGTAGGTCTCAGACTGGAGGAACAGCCCCCTCCAGGGCATGCTATTCTCATGGCAGAGGCTGAAGGTCATGGGGTTAGACTCACCACAGCGTGCCTCTTTTTAAAAGTATTTTATTGAAGTATAGTTGGTTTACAATGTGCTAATTTCTGCTACATAGCAAAGTAACTCAGTTAAACACAGCTATATTCTTTTCCATACAATTGATCACAGAATACTGAGTATAGTTAGTTCCCTGTGCTGTGCAGTAGAACCTTGCTGTTTATCCATCTTATGGATGGTAGTTTGCACCTGCTACTCCCAAACTCTCAATCCTTCCCTCCCCGCCCTACCAGACAACCACAGATTTGTTCTCTGTTTGTTTCATAGATACATTCACTTGTGTCATATTTCAGATTTCACATGCAAGTGTTATCCTGTTTTCACTTTCTGACTTATTTTGCTTAGTTTGATATTCTCTAGGTCCATCCATGGACTGCATGTTGCTGTAAATGGCAACATTTTATTCCTTTTAATGGCTGAGTAATATTTCACCATGTATATATACAACATTTTCTTTATTCATTCATCTGCTGATAGACATTTAGGTTGTTACCATGTCTTGGCTATTGTGAATAGTGCTGCTTTGAACATAGGGGTGCATGTATTCCTTTTTAGACTATAGTTTTTTTCTGGGTATATGCCTAGGAGCAGGATTGCTGGATTCTATCGTAGCTCTATTTTTAACTTTTTGAGGAACCTCCATACTGTTCTCCATAGTGGCTGCACCAAATTTACATTCCCACCAACAGTGTAAGAGGGTTATTTTTTCTCTGCACCTTCTCCAACATGTATTACTTGTAGACTTTTGAATGATTGTCATTCTGACTGGTGTGAGAAGCCTCTACCAGGAACTGGTACATGGCAACTTTCCATGAGTCAGGTATGTTGTCTTGTAACCTAGTTGTGAGGAAGAAAGCTTCACTCAAGAAAGCATCTATACTGCCCTGGAATTTGTCAGACTTGAAGCAGTGACAAATTCCATTCCTACATACCTGATATCCTGTCTTGAGCTGATGATCAAGGCTTAGTTGGATAGACTGCCCAATTGGTAATGCCATTGGATTTATAAGGTAATATCAAATGACAGGTAATCAGTTTACCTCGAGCTGATAGTCAAGTCTTTAAAAGGTGTAAAACCAATCATGTTGGCTATAGTTTTTCTCACAAATTATTCCTTGTTCACATTAAAGACCAATTTGAGCCTTATTCAAAATGTGCCATGAGTCATTTTACTGTGTTTTAGTACTAATTTGTCTTCATCATGGGTGTAGTTTTTTCCACTTGGTTTTTCAAGCAAAGATGATAAAATTAGATAAATTGATAGTCTATTTAGCTTTAATATCAAGATCTTTTGTGGAATATTAGTGCTCCCTAATTAATTGAGTTTTCAATTCTCTGGTGACTTACAGAAGCTTCGGTCATGATGTATAACCCATCTGCAATGTCAGGACCTAATTTTAGGCTTCATTATCATGATTGAGCTGAAGATTGAGGCTTTATGAGTCTTTTAAAAAGAACATATAGATGCTTTTAAAATTCTGTCCCCATTACATAAAAATTCTTTTTGACAATCCCCAGAAATTCCTTTGTTAACAGAGAAATCTGTGGTTCACACAGAAGACAGATTTCTGAATCTGAACTGAGTTTGCAGGCTGTCAGTCACTAGGCTCATACTTGGGGGCTGTGGTTCAGGCTGTGCATCTGAAGTGGGAGTCCTCTGATCACAGGGCAGAGTGGTACAGAGGGAGCTGTGGTCTTGAGGAAGGCAGTGTAGTAGAGCTAGGTTTGTTGGATTGAGACCTTGGTTGGGAATTTGTACTGAACTATATGACAGTTTCAATATTCAGTTCCTACAATGTTGCCAGGAGGCAATCTTACCATAAAATCTTAAGTAATTATGAAAACCCTGACCACTTTGTTGGTGTCATACCATCAGGTTTTTCAAAGATTCCATCCATCCATTCTCTCATGTGCTCATTACAACATTCAGGTGCCCGAGGTAGTTCCATATTACTATTATTTCTATTTTACATACAAGGAAATGAAAATCCAGGGGTCAGTCTGCAAGGGGAAGAAGGAAGGGAGACTTCCTAAATGCTGGCCATTGCTGTGGTTCTGCTGGGATCTAAGTTAATATATCCAGTAGAGATGAGTTCCCTGCATGATTTGTCTATGCACAGCTAGCCAAATGTGTGGGTTTCAGGTTTGGAAAGAACTGGGTTTGGCTCCCAGCCTCCTTACTAGCTGAGAGACCTCAGGTAAGTTATACAAACTACCTCAAATTCCTCAAACATATGTGTTGTTATTTTGATTACTTGACATATAGCATGAAAAATATTGAGCATTGTTACTGGGACACATTATTCCAAGACCTCCATGACTAAACTTCCTGTAAAACTTTGATCAGAAAAATAAAAACTAGAGACCAAAATATCACCTTAAGTGATGATAGAGGGCAGGTTGGAGAATATAGCTTTAAGTCTAATTGCCAAATGGGCATGCTAATAAG